CAGTTTACATTGATTTTTTAGTTTTTCATGAATACCGTTTTTAATCTCATATTTTTTGTTGTGTTAATTTAAAACTATCCCTAACCCATCACTTAATTTTTTTCATGACTTTTGCATTTTTTGTATTTCAATGAATCCTGACATGCCTTTTCAAAAGACTTTAATCTTCCCTTTTTCTTGGCGCAAATTGTCATTTTTCTTTCCTACAGTTAATTTCTAAAAGCACTATTTTATAATCTTTTAGCTTCATAAATTTTTCTTTGTATTTCATGGCCAACTTATTTGAGTACGTGACAAACTACTGTTTTATAGTTTAGGGTTTTATTTTTTTTTGTGTTTGAAAAATATAGCTACCAGTTTACCTAAATTTGTAGCATAATTGTGATCTGAAGCCAACTGTCAGGAATAGAATAGTATATTTTTGTATTGTGCCACATTTTTTTCCTCAAGCCAATACAGTTGAAAGTTTGTTGGGCATTATTAAAATTCTTCCTTTCCCTAACCCATGTGGTTCAGCTGGTTGCAGTGTTTGTTCTGTGCACTGAAGGATCATGGATGGGAGGCAATCTATTAATGTTTGTTTCTCTCCCTCTCCCTCCCATTCTCTAAAAATCAACTAAAAGAAAAATCCTCCCTCGGCACAGGTGTTCAAAATTGGTTGTACATATGTCAGAATGTTCTGCTTCTCCCTAAAAGTGATAATTTAGCTTCAGAATTATAAAGTCCATAATGAAACCACATACTATAACACTTAGGCTAATGACTCATGAACAGTTAATGAAAGCACTGTATTGTGCAGTTAGTGATAATGATGTCACTACTGTTTATCTAAACTGGAAGGAAGTAGAACACACCACCCACACTGAAAAAGCATTTTTGGAAGACATTTTATAGAAGTTGGCTGATTATCAAGAAACCTCAAAAATGATGAACCTCACTCTCTCTCTCTCTAACAGATGTCTTATTGTGCTTGGCTAACTATAGTCGAGGGGGTGATGGTCCTATGTGTCGTCCAGTAGTTCTATTACCAAAAGAAGACACTCCTATCTTCTTAGACCTTAAAGGGTCCCGCCATCCCTGCATTACGAAGACTTTTTTTGGAGATGACTTTATTCCTAATGACATTCTAATAGGCTGTGAGGAGAAAGAGGAAGAAAATGGCAAAGCTTCTTGTGTGCTTGTTACTGGACCTAACATGGGAGGCAAGTCTACACTCATGAGACAGGTAAAATGACTTCAGGTTTTGATACAGAAAGTTACTTGTAACAGTTTAAAAATGAATGTATTACATATTTAGGCCATCCTTTTCCAAATAGCACATGAATTACATAGGATTCAATTAGTGATTTAAGGAATCAAAGGGAAATTCTTGCTATAAAATTGAGAATTGTCTTTTTCTCATGAATCAAATGTCACTATCTGCCTGATGTTAAGGGGAGAATATATTAAAAATGCAAGGGAGATTTTAGGCCATGATTTCTTTATAAATTTTTTATTTGAATTAATTTCCCCTGAAGGTAGATGCATATAATGAATGAAAATTATGCAAATGTTTCAGGAAAGCCCTTTATTATTTAGACTTATAGAAATTCTTACAAAAGAACAGTGACAGACTTATTCAGACAGAAAACCAAATAAAATTTGTGACATAGTAACTCTTGGGAACTGTTTTTAGGGAAGACAAATATATTTTTGTTTTTATACCTGGGATTGGCCTATGTGATAATTTACGTTTTTAATGGGTTGTAGAAAAAATGAGTATGTGACTAAGACATTGAGCCCTTGACAGAAATGTTTGTTGACCCTCCTGCTCTCCTGTACTATATTATACTTTTGTTCACTAGGTTTGCTAACTAGAGAGAGACATACAGTGTAGTATAGTGGTTTTCAACATTAAAAAAATGTGGACAATTTGGATACCCATGGTACTCTCTCTGTTGTTCAGATTTTAGTGTCTGTTGCCAGAGCACTTTATTTTTAATAAGAAAAATCAAATCATAGAGTTGAACAAAAATATACAGGGAGGATTCCATCATCTGAAATGAATGAATTTGGTTTGGAATTGGTTCTAGGCATCAGAGTTGAGAATCAACTAGTGTTGTGGGTTAATATACAAAAGCTCTGAAATTTAAAAGTCAGGCCCCTAAGCCTTTTGCCTTCTAAGTGTCACTTTTCCTACTTAGGATTTTGAAGATTTTTTTTTAATAGTGTTTTTATACATGCTTCTTAGCAAAGATTAATGTTCAGCTTGGCTTATTGTCTTTTGTGTATATGGATAGGTTTCTCTATATGCCTGTCTATCTTACGGTATTCTTTAAACCAGTTGTAAAACACCTTTTCCTCCCTCATTCACAGGCCGGCCTATTAGCTATAGTCGCCCAGATGGGCTGTTACGTTCCTGCTGACGTGTGCAGGCTTACACCAATCGATAGAGTGTTTACTAGACTTGGTGCCTCAGACAGAATAATGTCAGGTGAGGTGTTGTTTTCTGTGTAAGGCTTTGTTATCTGATGTTTTGTTTTATATTTTTTTGGTGTTATGTGAAACAAACTGCTCCATTTCTTGAGATTTACCTGGACAGCTCATGATACATTTGAATAATACGAATCTAAAAGATGAATTATTGCCGAAACCAGTTTGGCTCAGTGGATAGAGCGTCGGCTTGGGGACTGAAGGGCCCCGGGTTCAGTTCCGGTCAAGGGCATGTACCTTGGTTGCGGGCATATCCCCAGTAGGGGGTGTGCAAGAGGCAGCTGATTGATGACTCTCATCGATGTTTCTAGCTCTCTCTCTCTCCCTTCCTCTCTGTACAAAATCAATAAAATATATTTTTAAAAAAAAGATGAATTATCTTGAAATGATCACCCATTTGTGACTTTTTCCCCCTCAAGGTGAAAGTACATTTTTTGTTGAATTGAGTGAAACTGCCAGTATACTTACACATGCAACAGCACATTCTCTGGTACTGGTGGATGAATTAGGTAAGTCATTAAAATTTCCATTTGAAAGCAATCTTTAAAACAAATTAATTTTAAAAAAGTATTAATGGACTCACCTTTGTACCATAGACACACATTATTAAATTTTTAAATCCTATTCAAATTTAGTTGCTGTAATACTGGGATAATGAGGCTATTTAAGGAGAACAGGAAGCTTGTGAAGACCTGTGATACTTGAGTAGTATAACTCCCCAAGGGCTAAGCTACCTATTTGGCTAAACAGGGCCTAAATAAGAAAACTTTTAACTGATCTTTTTTTTTGCATTACTTCATAATTTATGCTTATTTTACTTTCACAGGAAGAGGTACTGCAACATTTGATGGGACAGCAATAGCAAGTGCAGTTGTTAAAGAACTTGCTGAGAATATAAAGTGTCGTACATTGTTTTCTACCCACTATCATTCATTAGTTGAAGATTATTCTCAAAACGTTGCAGTGCGCTTAGGACACATGGTATGTGCAAACTGCTTATTCAGAAGTTGATTAGGTTTCTGAGAATCAAATTTGATATTTCCATTGCTAGCGTGTGAATGTAATATTTCTCATTTTTAGGCATGCATGGTAGAAAATGAATGTGAAGATCCCAGTCAAGAGACTATTACTTTCCTTTATAAATTCATTAAAGGAGCTTGTCCTAAAAGCTATGGCTTTAATGCAGCAAGGCTTGCTAATCTTCCAGAGGAAGTTATTCAAAAGGGACATAGAAAAGCAAGAGAATTTGAGAAGACAACTCATTCACTAAGATTATTTCGGTAATTATAATTGGATATAATTTTGCCATGCAGCTGACCTTATTAAAACAGAGGGATGGGTGGTGATGCAGTGTAGAAAATGTAAACTAAACTCCCTCCCTCTCTTTTTTTTTTTTTTTTTTTTTAATTTTAAGGGAAGTTTGCCTGGCTAGTGAAAGGTCAACTATAGATGCTGAAGCTGTCCATAAGTTGCTGACTTTGATTGAGGAATTATAGACTACATCAGAAGCTTTGAGGTGGCTTTTTTGACAAAGGTGGTAAATTCAGACAACATTATGATCTAATAAACTTTATTTTTTAAAAATGACCATTTTTCCATTTTCTTTCTAGGAAATTAAACCCTTTTAATTCTTACCTACCTTCTACATAATGGTTATTGAATACTTCACAATATATTAAGTCTAGATGTTATGGTACATGCATACACTTTCAGGCTGTTTATACCCACTGTCACCAATACACATAAATGGGGGAGGGAAGCTATGAAACTGTATAGGGCTGTATATATACTTGTCTCAGCTTAATGCAGGAAATTGTTTTAATTTCCAGCCAGTTGTCTAAACTGTTCAAAAAGAAAAAGAAAAAAAACCAAAACCTATGAACAGAGTTCAAATACAGGACTGTTTTGAAGAGACTTTCTAAAGTGTACTTTAAAACATAGTAGTTTTTACCTTTCACAAAACTGAGTTACAAGAATACTTTTGTTTTACAGTGCATCCCTTCCTAGGAAGTCTCATTAAAACACTCACTTTTCTAGGGGTGATTTTGAATGCTGCACAGGGAAGGGAAGGAAATAATAGTCTTAACTTTTCTTAAAGGATACCAGAAACATTGCTGGATATAATTTAAGATTAGTGTTTTCTCTTTCATAGAAAGAACGTACATACTGGGACATGAGTACAGTTACAGCAAGTCTAGGTGTGCTAACAAAACAGGGCACATTCAAGTACAATAAGATTTTGCTTGAAATTAAACAACAAACTACATGAGATTAAAGCATTAAAATCATATTTCTCAATCTGAATACATGTTAAAAAAAAATCAAAAGTAACGCAGAAGTGCTAGCTCACATTTTTTTACCATATTACAAAAAGCAATTGGTACCCATGTCCATAAAGGCAGCAACAAAGCTGCTTGTCTATTGAAGAGAGTACTACTGCAAATTGGACTGCATTCAATGCTAGTTGTAAAAACACCAGCTTTTTTTCAGAAGTTGGTATCTGTACAAAATTGCAGCTTTTTTCCCCCCACTTCTGTCCCTTCAAATGTCTTTACACAGTAATGCTAAAACACCCAGCTTTGAGATCCTGAGTCAATATATTGCCACTTTCTTTTTGGTAGCTTGAGCTTCATAGTGTCAGCTGACCTCATGTATCCATTTTTAATACAGTCTCTTCCTGTAGCATGGGCAAGTACTAAATCTTCTTCCAAAAATGTTTTAAGTTATGGTGTTAGAATGGCAGAACTTTTTCTTTTAAGGAAGGAATTCAGTTGTGCTGCAATGTATTAGATTCTATAGGTGGAGCAGAGTCATATAGTGTATCTGTATCATGTGTAGGCTCACCAGCTAATGTACAGGGATTAGACAGTGTTCCAGCACCACAGTCACAGAAAAACCTAAAGCAAAATGAAAACCAAAAAATTAGGAAGGGGGGAATAATTGGGTAACAGAATAGGCAAGAGGGGGAGGGAGGCATAATTGGGTTATAACAGGCAAGTTTGCTACATACCTATCATGTCTAATAAATTCTACATCATGTCCCTGATGGCACTTCTTAATGCAATTCACACATATGGCATTTCGATCTGTGGTGTTACAAGTGTGACATCTAGAAAGTAAAAACATTTTTCTTAAACGTGTTATTCAAAAGAACTTTTGTTTGTATATATTACCCTATGAGCTTTGGCTTACAAAAGGGACTAAAAATTTTTGTGGCTCTATCCAAAATAACTTTTGTTTGTATATGTTACCATATGAGCTTTGGCTTACAAAAGAGACTAAAAATTTTTGTGGCTCTATCCCACAGTTCTGTAGAGACTAAAATTAATTAAATGGATCTGCTCTGCTGAGGAAAACAATTATAGAAAATCTGTTGAAACTTGCCTATGAAGCACTACTGAAACAATTTTGGGGAGAGGAATCAACATCCATTCACACTTCAATGACTTGTGCTTTTTCTGATATTTATGGTCTAAAACAGGATCCTCCAATAGATTCATCATGGAACTCAATGTGAATTATGTGTTTCCACTGGTAAATACCCAATTTACTCTTGCCTTTACTCACACATTTAAAGGGGGGGAGGGAGGAAGAATCACCATTTCCCTCCTATTCTGGACCAACAAATAATTTTAGAAATATACCTGTAGAAGTCATGCATGGGATAGCTGGTATAACTTGATATTTTATATAAACATTGGCCTCTACTAACAGCCTTTTCTATGGCATCTTGATTGTTCATTATTTTGTTATCTGTAATAAAAAAAAAAAGTAAAATTCTAGAGGACAGATTTAATCTAAAAATATAGATTATAGGATTATTCTAATAAGTCAGAAGAGTTTTAACTAATGAATGTAGACTCCAACATACCTTTCATTGTCACATTAACACCAGATGCTAAAAATAAGCCTCCAAACCGGTTGTTAAAAATCTGATTGCCTTCTAATGTTGCAGTTGCATGATTTGTAATTTCAATACCTGAAGTAAAATTTAAACAGCGGATGCATCACTTTATCTAGTTTCTTAAAAGAAACTTAATTCTTAACTAGGGAATAAAGTACAAATGTTTATTTGAATCATTGATAGTAACATTTCCCATTGTTAATTATGGCATGATACAAGATGGTTCACCACTTACTACTTTTAATGACATTTAAAAATTTTGCTAAGATGGAACTAGATGGTTATTTGGATTATTAAAAGTAAATGCCCTGTCAGAATGGCTATCAACAAGTGCTGGTGAGGATGCAGAGAAAAAGGAACCTTTGTGCACTGCTGGTGGGAATGCAGACTGGTGCAACCACTGTGGAGAACAGTATAGAGTTCCCTCAAACTGAAAATGGAACTCCCATTTGACCTAGTAATCTCACTCCTAGGAATATATCTTAAAGAGACTAGAAATATCAATCAAAGGATATATGCACCCCTATGTTCATAGCAGCACAATTTGCAATAGCTAGGATTTGGAAACAGCCTAAGTGCCCATCAGCAGATGATTGGATCAAAAAACTGATATATCTACACATGGAATACTATGCTGCCATAAAAAAGGAATTATCATTTGCAGCAACCTGGTTGGAATTGGAGAACATTATGCTGAGTGAAATAAGCCAGTTATTGAAAGAAAAACACCACAGGATCTCACTCATTTATGGATAATAAGGAACATTATAAACTGATGAATAAAAAAGATAAGAGACAGTAAAGCAACAGACTGTCAAATTACAGTGGGGAGCATAGGGAGATATGGGGGAGATAAGAGATCAACCGAAGGACTTGTATGCATGCATATAAGCATAGCCAATGGGTGAAAACTCTGGGGGCGGGAGGATAGGAGTGGGGGATGGGAACTGGTAAGATATGTACACATATACTTTAATAAAAAAAGAAATGAAAGAAAAAAAAAGTGCTCTAGCAAAAAGTTAAAATATATATGCTATGCACTAGAAGCCTGGTGCATGAATTTGTGCACCAGGGGAACCCTTGGCCTGGCCTGCAGGATCGGGTCGAAACTGGCTCTCATCTGAGGGGTCGTGGATTGTGAGAGGGCTCCGGCCAGGCCAAGAGACCCCAGGAGGACTCCAGGGCGTGGCCAGCCTGTCTCACTCAGTCCCCATTGGCTGGACCCCAGCAGCAAGCTAACCTACCAGTTGGAGCATCTGCCCCTTGGGCTTAGTGCACATTATAGCCAGTGGTTGAGCGGCCTTAGCATATTACTCTTTGGTTGAATGGTTGACTGGACACTTAGCATATTAGGCTTTTATTAATAGGATGATACTTGGATTTAATTTACCAACATGAAAAAAAAAAAGTGTGAGGTCAGAGGGCTAGAATTTTTGTTTTCCTAATAGTACAAAGGCTGCATTTATCCTATACCAATTAATGTTTCATAATTACTACTGAACAGCAAAGAGCAGTATTTCTTACAGGTTTGTGGAAAAATCTAGAACTTGGATTAGGTACTCTCATTGTTAACAGACAGGCATTTTGCTACTTGGCACACTTAATTATTAAGCAAAATATACTAAAAACCAACCATTTTTAATGTTTAGGGAAAAAAAAAAAAAGCTACAGGTAACAGAAGAAAATACAGACCTGCAGCAAATCCATCAAATATTCTGTTTTTCCGTAAGACTGGATGACTATTAGTGCTGATGAGAACACCTGCTTGAGCATTCCTGAAAATATCATTTTCTTCAAGGAGACCTATAATAGCATATAACAAATTTTACTAGCCTTTTTGGTGACATTAAGGTTTCTTTTCTTTTTTTTTTTTTAGTTTCCTATTTAACTGCATTGTAAAATTCACAGGATTAATTTTTCAGCCAAAAGGAAAGTTCGTTAGTTATGGCAAGGTTTAGCCAAAAATTGTAGGTATACATTCTAACTAATAAACTTCAAATTCCATGGTTGCAGGGACCATGTCTAGTTTACTCACCACTGCGTCGTCTGTGCCTGGCACAGGGATGACTCACTGAACACTCTGAATTACAACCAATTCCTCTGAAATATCAATAGTTTTAGAATCTCTGCACCCTTCGTTTCAGACCGGTTCTGATTATTTCTGGCCATTATTACTATGATTCTTTGATCGATTTCCTTTACTCCAGTCTAAGCTGTTGCTGTATTTTCCCAGGTTCCTACACCTCTTTTATCATGTCCCTTCTCTGCTTTAAAAAAACCCCAACTTTCATAATTAAGTATTAAATTAACTTGCCATTCAAAGCCTTTGAAAATATTCTCCCCAAGCTACTTATCTCATTTACCTATCTTCTGAATATTTAAATCCTTAATACCTTGGGTTTATATTATTTCCTCTTCTGGAATGTCCTGTACTATATCTTGCTAATGTCACTTCCTCTGGAAAGTTTTCAGTTTCCTTTAATCAAATTTATTATTAATTTTGTTGGCAGTTTAACAATTGCTAAGAGTCAGCCAGGAATCAGACTTTAGGTCTTTAAATATTGATTCCACCACTTAACTAGCTCCGAGTGGACAAATAACTTACTTCCTTGGACTCAAGTTTCCTTTAAAATGGGCACAATATCATCTACCACAGTTAAGAGGATTAAATTAATACTTACAAAAGTATATTGCACTAAATAAGTATTAGCTAGTATTGCTCCTATAAAATCTACTTATGTACAGTGAATTATAGTTAGCTGTGAACCAGTGTTTTTCTGCTCCCTAAAGATGTGAAACATGGTCTTATTTTTATAGACATCTGACCCACCTTGTATTGACCTCTGAATTCCTTTTCCCCTGAAAAGTGTCCCAAGATCCTGCTTCTATTCTACACATGTCCACTAACCTCCTCAAGGGCCATTGCATTGCCAAGATGTCCTAACTCCAAACTGCATATACAAAGCCTTTTATGATTTGGGCCTTGCCCCCTTTCTCTGGCCTTAACTTCCAGTACCTCTTGTCTTACTAAATAAATCAGTTTTATTTATACGATTGTTTACAATGTGCTACTCCATTAGACTGTAAACTTTCTGGATGTAGTACTGTTTTATTCACCATTATATCTTTAGTATTTATATCACAGTGGTTCGTACAGAGGTGTTTAGTTAGGAATAACAAATGAAAGAGTGAAAGAATGTTTTCTATACCTGGAATGGTCTGCTTCCCACATGCCCTTCCCACCCCCATTTTCCTGTGAACTCTCAATTTTCAAGAGACAATTCAAGAATGATTTTACTCCATGAATCTTCTTAGCACCTTGCAAATAAAACCACCATTCTGTAGTTTTCTCATTATATCTTTTAAAGACGCCTAACAGAGATATGCTACTTTAATGAATTACTAAATTATAAAGTCCTGGAGAGAGTATGTCTTTAAGAAAATCATCTTTGCTTGGTTGCAATAAATTTTGTTGATTAAATCTTGGTATGTCATAATAATAACTAGCTATCTTTCCACATAAGGTGAGCACACAATGTTGGGTCATTGATATTTCAGGAATGGCGATAAATTTGCATTAGACATTCATTCCCAGTCTTCATGAACATGAATTTTCAGAGGGCACGGACTGTGGAACTTTTGCCTCAATACAAAGTGAATTGGCCTTTATGGATACCAAACCGGGCACACCTTAGCTTCATTAATCCCATTATCCAACAAACATCGTTGTAAAATAGATACAAAGCAATACTTATTACAGACATTTTCATATATTTACAGACCAATTAAGTTCTTAAACCTAGTTCTATAACTTGATTTTCAAATTTGTTATAATTATCTCATTCTTCTGAATAAAAAGTCCAGAGAGGCTGTGAACTTAAAAAAGCCTTACTAATAAACTGGCACACTTATGGTGGTACAGAAAGAAAAGAAAAATACTGTAAACATTTGTAATCTCCTAAACCATCTCAAGACTTGATAAGAAAAACAACTGAGATTCATGTTAACTGGCAATCCCATTGATTGTTAAAGATATAGAAGAAGAATTGAAAATTGGGGTTTTTACTAATGCAAAATTAACAACAATACCTCGACCCCCATTAAATATACAGATGCCACCATCTCTTCCATCATGGATTTTATTTCTTCTTAGCGTAGGGTTACTATCTGTCTTAATCCAGACGCCAGCCATTGCATTATCAAATATTTCATTGTCTTCTATACAGCCAAGACCTATAAATGCAAAAATTTAGGTTATGTTATTTGGAAAGTATATTTCTAAAGATTATTAGCACTGCAAAACAGATGAAAGATTATACTTACCGGAATTATAAACTAGAATTCCACCATTCTGTCCTCCCCAGATTTTGTTGCGCCTAATTTTGGGGTTGCTTCCAGTCCTATGAATAGAATAGAGAACAATGCCATTTTAATTGCTTCTGTTCCCTAATGCCATGAGGTAACAGTGAAAAAATACACATTAATCATAGTTAGATTTAACTATAGCCTGGCTGGTGTGGGTCAGTGGTTGAGGTTGAGCATCAACCTGTGGACCAGATTGGCCCTGGTTCGATTTCTGGTCAGGTCCCATACATGGGTTGTAGGTTCAAGCCCGTGTGGGGCGTGCAGGAGGCAGCCAATCAATAGTTCTTTCTCATCATTGATGTTTCCATCTCTCCCTTCCTCTCTGAAATAAAAGTATACTTAAAAAAATAAAATAATTAACTATACAATAGAGTCCTTCGAAATGCTCTGAAAGTCTGTCAAAGAAATTTGTTTAACTTAATTTTATTTCCCACAGAACAGACTTAACTTATACTTTATGTTAATACTATAGTTTCTTAACAGGTAAACTAAATGGAGGGGGTAAAAATAAATAACTATTATTATGTACTCCCCCTTATGTAAAATGAAGGGTTGAGTTACATGATTAGGATTACTATAGTTCCAAAAACTGTTAAAAAAGAGACAAGAGGGGTCTAAAAGACTTAATTTTATACAAATAGCATAAAAACGCTTCCATTTACCAGCGCCTACAACATGTCAGGCACAGTTCATAAGTATTTTATATAGTCTTCTGTGGTATCCAAGTATGATGGAGTACATTGAATGCTGGACTAGTCCTCAACTAGTCCAAGAAAAGTTGTAATCTGACAATTTAAGGCAAGATTACGACAGTGTGAATTACAGACACACAAAGGAATAAAGACTGAGCATTGAATAAAAAAATTTCTTCTGCATACTCCACGTTTCTCATTCCCTGCCCCAAAAAAGCCAAATGTGAAAACATTTACCTTATCTGAACCCCTGAATACATATGATTATAGATATCATTGTCTTCTAGCACTCCATGTCCATTGTCATAAAAATAAACACCAACCTAAAGTTAAAAAAAATTTTTAATTCATATGACCAAAGTGTTTAATAAAACAATGATTTCACATACAGGAATCCAAGACAATCTTACCTGCTTGCCACTGTGTATCCTGTTTCTTCTCAGCACTGGAGTGCTGCCAGTTGTCACCCAAACTCCAGCTAGAGTATTACTATAAACTTCATTCTCTTCTATTACACCTTGTCCTTTCTCATGCTAAATAAAAGATACATTCATTACAATATACATTTTGAATCAGCAAAATATAGTTTATAGTGTATTCCTCTTTAAAGATAGTTTTAACAAATTAAAAATTTTTTTGTTATCTAGGTAAGAAGGCAATGATAACATTTTTATGTAGTTTCTAAGTTTAGGCCTCTAAAATGTTTATACTATTCTTTATGTGGTTATGTACTTTTAAATCTACTATCGTAAGAGTAGTAGAATGCAATTTTTTAAAAACAAAATAATTTATTTCATTCTAAGATATATAGCAAACTGAAGATCTCTCATTTTGTAAGTTAACAGTTATTTCACATTATCACTGGTAAAGTCACTTCAAAATAATAAGGTTTCAGGGTTGCTAAAATTTTTATTTTTTAGCAGATTAGAGATACGAATATTTCTAGAACTGTAAATAAAAATTAAGTCACAAAAAACTTTCACAAAAATCTTTCAGAAATTAGGATCCCATTATTTTCTTACTTGAATCAGTTGTAACAGTTTCAGATACCATGGTGACCAGAGGACATACACAGGTTTAAAAATGTTGGGAGATGCTCAATTATATTGCAACATAAATTAAAAAGAAAACTGACCTTTTCAGAAGATAAAAATATTCAAGTCTAGTGTTATTAGTATTTATAGTGTTATTACTTTTGGAAAATTTCAGAGATTCATACAGTAGTCACATAGACAAAATTCCAATGCAACAAATATAACTGAAAACTGACAATCAGTTGTTACTTCATATTGCCAATTATAAAAATCTTTAATATATAGGTATACTTCCTATGCCTAACTTTAGTCAGTTGATTAAATTTTATAGAACACTACACACACTATAAAATTAAAAGTTTTTTTTTTAATATATACCTGCTAGGAGAAAAGTGTCTTATTCATTGTCTAAATATTAAAGACAGTTGCTAAACATAATTCTGCCCCATGTTCCCTACTCCTCTGGTTTTGATGTATGAAATTCTAGAATTGTATTCATTAACTTACCACATAAATTCCACCATGCTGGCCATCATGAATTTTGTTATGTCGAACAATTGGACAACTGTTTGTTCTAATCTGAATTCCTGCTAATGCATTTCCTATTTAAAAGTAAAAGTTACAATATCAACATATGGAGCCTAGCAAAACACAGTAAAAAGTCTTACATTCTGTAGTGGCTAAAATTCTTATTTTAGTAAAAGCACAATTCTGTGAAATATGTAATATTCAAAAAGATACTTATGGCCCATGAAGGAACTAAGTGAAAAAAAATTAACGCAAAGGATTGTAGGCATTGTAAGTATAGTGGTTAAGGGTAAAGGCAATTGGTTAGGCTGCATAGTTTTAAATCCCAGGAATTCTATCTACTTCCTGTGTGATTTTTGAATAAGTCATTAACAATCTCTGTACCTTTGTTGTTGTTTTTTTTTAAAATAAATCTTTATTGTTCAGATTATTACAAATGTGATCCTCTTCCCCCCCTCAATTGCTCCCCTCCACCAGGTTCCCACCCCACCCTCTGTCCTTTCCCCATCCCCCATTGTTCTCATCCATAGGTGCAGTTTTTGTTCAGTCTCTTCCCGCACCCTCACTCCCCCTTTCCCCGAGAATCGTCAGTCCACTCCCCTTCCATACCTCTGATTCTATTATATTCACCAGTTAATATTGTTCATCAGATTTTTTAAATTCCCTTGGTTTTTAGATTCACTTGTTGATAGTTACGTATTTGTTGATCATAATTTTTATCTTTATCTTCTTCCCCTTCCTAAATAACCCCCTTCAGCAATTCATATAATTCTGGTTCGGCAGTGATGAACTCTTTTAGCTTTTTTTTATTTGTGAAGCTCTTTAACTGTCCTTTGATTCTGAGTGATAGCTTTGCTGGGTATATTATTTTTGGCTGTAGGTTCTTGCTATTCATCACCTTGAATATTTTTTGCCATTCCCGTCTGGCCTGCATGGTTTCTGTTGAGATATCAGCTGACAATCGTATGGGTGTTCCTTTATAGGTAACTACCTGCTTTTCTCTTGCTGCTTTTAATATTCTCTCTTTGTCTTTTGCTCTTGGAATTTTAATTATGATGTGTCTTGGAGTGTTCCTCCTTGGATTCCTTTTGTTTGGGGTTCTGCGGGCTTCCTGGACTTGTAAGTCTATTTCTTTCCCCAGGTGGGGGAAGTTTTCTGTCACTATTTCTTTCAATATTCTTTCTGTATCTTGCTCTCTCTCTTCCTCTGGAATCCCCATAATTCTGATGTTGTTTCGCTTGAAATTGTCCCAGAGGTTTCTTACACTATCTTCAACTTTCTGGATTCTCTTATCTTCTCCCTTCTGCAGAGGAGTGTCCTCTGGCTCTTCGTGTTCTAAATCTTTGTCTTGATTCTTGTGATCTTCCAGTCTGTTTTTAGGACTTTGTATAATATTTTTTATTTCAGACAATATTTTCTTCATTTCTTGTTGATCCCTTATTATTTCTAGTTGCTCCCTTTTCATATCCTCATAGGTCTCATTTATTTTATCGGCCTTTTTTGGATATTGTTGAATAACCTTATAACTGTAGTTTTGAACTCAATGTCCAATCTTTTCTTTTCCTCCATCTCCTTCCTTTGTCTCCTTCCTCTTGTCTGCATTTTAGTTGTTTCCCTGATTTGATGGAATAGCTTTGTGTTCTAGGTGTTCTGGTAGAGCCCAGTAGCACAGCCTTCCCAGTTACCTGCGGTGGACAGTCTTGGTGTAGCCCTTTGTGGGCTGTGTGTGCAGTCTTGTTGTTAAGCCTTGCTTATTGTTGGTATCACTGGGAAGCTTTGATCTCCAAACCAATTGGCTGTGAGGATCAGCAGAGTCTCAGCTAGGAGGGCCTCTGTACTCTGCTTGGATAGGGCGGGGTCTTGGGGTGACGCAGACAAGCTTTGGTTCCCTGTCAGTCTCGCCTTATAAAAGACCTGTTCTCGGAGAGTTTCGGAAGATTGGTTGCAGGCGCGCGCACCTCTTTGGTAAAGGCACAAATAAGCTTTGGGTTCCTGCCAGTCCCTCCTTAGAGAAAGCCAGCCTCTGGGAGAGCTTCTGTGCTCAGCCAGAGATTGGGCGGAGTCTCAGGTTGGTGCAGACAAACTGTTTTCCCTTGGGCTCCACCCCAAGTCCCGCAATAATGGCCTCTGGCTTCACACACCTCTGAGAGATCTCTGCCCACTGCCTGACAGTCTGGCCTCTCCCTGTCTGGGGCCATTTATCAGAGCAATAGGGTGATTCTGTTTTCCTCTCGAACAAGAAAGCCAGTTGCGCGTTAGCCGTCTGCCCTCTCTGCACACCGGGAGTAAGCCAGTAGCGAACTCAGCCCGGCTCGCCCTCTCCGCGCTCCGGGAGTTCGCCAGCAGCAATCTCTGTCCGGCCCTTCCTCTCCGTGCGCCAGGAGTAAGCCAGCGCCTTTCCGTGCACACAGTTCTCCGTACCTTCACAGTTCCTGAGGTTCAGCGTGCCTTCTCTCTCCTTCCCAGATGGCTGAGCCTCCTCTCAGCTAGCCGTCCGGTGCTTCAGGGCAATGCCTCCCCTGTTTTTCAGTTCTAAATTCAAATTTGTTGTGGTAGGCTGCATTCGGGTGTCTACCCTATGCCGCCATCTTGGTGTCTCCTCAAATGTCTGTACCTTTATTTCTTGATCACTACATACTATTAATATTAAATATCACTAGATATACTATTAAATAAACTTCACAGGGTTGATGTGAATATTTTATGACTTAATTTAGATAAGGTGCTCAGAATAGCGTCTGACACTGAATAAACCTATGTATTATCAGGTGTTAGCAAAGGAGAAAGTCTAGGAACATATCAGTGTCCAGCACATAGACATCAGTAGTTTGCTGAAGTTTAATGAAGATTAAGTATTTTCTCTTCCTAGTAATACCAAAATAAAAAACTACCACAGCAATAACTTATTAATTATTAAACAATGGAATAATTTAAGGGAACTATAGATACTCCTTGAATCTATTTATCTATCTTATTTATATTTTGATCCCTGGTATCTGGCATAGTGCCAGGTACGTAGTAGGTATTTAGTAAACGTTTGTAGTTTAGTAAATATCACAGAAAATCTTTAATGAGAATTTAAAAAATTCGATCAGTTCTACTTGGATAGTGTCAAACTGTTCCATTTTGCTACTGTGAGGTAGAGAAGTCAAACTCTAAAATTTTATGGATCAAAGCCACATGCTTACCATAAATGTCATTTCCTTCAATAAGGCCTCGTCCGTCACCAAAGATGTAAACTCCCCCTTGATTTCCGTTAAATATAGAATTCCCCCTATAATTACATGAAATAAAATAAGAATCTATTCAGCAAACTTACTTGTTTTATACAATTAATTGTAAGGTCACTCATGGTCATGTAACCTTGGAAAACTATTTAACTTCTATGATCCTTAGTTTCCTAATCCATCAAATGAGGTCCTTAGACTATCGGGTCTAGTAATAATTAATGTCGTTTTTAAACATTCGTTTAAAATCTTGCTTGGCGTTGACTTGTATTGACATAACCTTCAAACACGTGGTATCTACAGAACGTGTGAAGTGCAATTAACAAGTTTTGCTTAAAAAAGTTTGTGTTTGGTTTGGTTTTTGTTGCAAAACTAGGGCTAAGAAGATGGCGGATGAAGAGCATATTCGGCACTGCATGCTTTATGAGTTCCAATTAGGAAGAAAAGCAAGTGAGGCTGCAAAAAACATCTGTAGTGCTCTTGGTCAAGATGCAGTTAGCACCAGAAAATGCCAGCATTGGTTTGAGAAATTTCGCGAGGGAAATTTTTCGTTAGATGACAAGAGTGGTCGAGGCCATGTGTCCAATTTTGATCAAGAAGCTCTTCAAGCTCTTTTGGTGCAAAATCCTCAAATTACCCAACAAGAGCTTGCGACAACTTTAAATTGTTCACAAAAAACAATTTCCAATCAATTGCGTGCACTTGGCAAAGTCCAAAAGTTGGAAAATGGGTTCCTCATGAGTTGACCGACAACAACCGTAATCAAAGAGTCACAATTTGCAGTTCGCTCCTCTCTCGTCAAAACCGTTTGCCGTTTTTAGAGCAAATTGTTACCGGAGATGAAAAATGGGTGCTGTATGTTAATGGGTGCTGTATGTTAATTTGAAAAGGCGGCCTCAATGGTTGGACAAAAATGAGGCTCCGCAGCCCACGCCAAAACCTGACTTGCATGCGAAAAAAGTGATATTGTGTGTTTGGTGGAATTTTAAAGGAATTCTTCATTATGAACTTTTACCATCTAACCAAACCATTACAAGTGCAGTGTATAGTGCCCAATTGGAAAGGTTAGCCAAGCTTTAAGAGAAAAAGAACCCGCGCTGATTAATCGGAAGGGCGTAATTCTTCACCACGATAACGCACGACCACATACTGCAAGAATCACTGCTGAAAAACTGCGCCAGTTGGAATGGGAAGTTCTCCCTCAACCTGCATATTCTCCTGATATTGCCCCTTCCAATTACCATATGTCTCGTTCTTTGCAAAACTTTCTTCTTGGAAAAAAATTTAATAATGAAGAATGCCTCAAAAATGCATTGACCGAATTTTTTGCATCAAAATCACAAGAATTTTACAACAGAGGGATTAAAATGCTTCCTGAGCGTTGGGCACAAGTAGTAGAAAACAACGGCAACTATACTGTTGATTAAATTTTGTTGTATTGTTTAAATAAATTCGATTTAAAAAAGTATTAGAAAACGACATTAATTATTACTAGACCTAATAGATGATTTCTAAATTCCTTTCTAGTTCTAAGATCTCAAGCTTTGGAAAAGTCATCTAATATCTGAGACAAAATAGCATTCTTAAAAATTCTCCTCAGAACAACTAACTCATTCAAAATAACTTTTATAAAACTGTTCTAGACGCATTTGTTGAATACTAACACGATGGAAATCCCATATACTTTCAATGAAAACCAGTGGAAAATAAAATTTGATAAAAATACTTCAAGGTCTTTAATTAAATTATAATACCTTGTTTTCCCGAAAATAAGACATCCTCTGAAAATAAGACCTAGCGCATGGAAAGATAAGACATCCCCTGAAAATAAGACCTAGCACAACTTTGGGAGAAAAAATTAATATAAGACACTGTCTTATTTTCGGGGAAACAGGGAAGCTCTGTACAATTAACCAATGCCATTAAGACTGGATCTATTGCCCTAGCCGGTTTGGCTCAATAGTTGAAGTATTGGCCCATGGACTGAAGGGTCCCAGTTTCAATTCTAGTGGTCAAAAACACTTACTTTGGTTGCAGGCTACGTCCCTGGCCCCAGTTGGGGCATGTGCAGGAGGCAACCAATCGATGTTTCTCTCTCCCCCACCTCCCTTCCACTCTTGTCTAAAAAATCAATGGAAAAAATATCTTCGGGTGAGGATTAACTAAAAAATAAAAAAGACTGGATCTATTTGTTTCCTTACTGTGGCCAGATTCAGTGGTTGAGTGTCAATCTATGAATCAGGAGTTTCACAGTTTGATTCCTGATCAGGATATATGCCCAGGTTGTGGGCTCAATCCAAAGCAGGAGGCAGCTGACCAATGATTCTCTCTTATCACTTTTCTATTGCTCTCTCCCTCTCTGAAATAAAAAAGAAAAGAAATAAACACACATCAGGTTTAAGTTTTTACTTTTTATTATTCTTAGTCACTCTGATCAAAATCTTTGAGACAGTTTCCTGAGTTATTCTATTGGTGGTCTCTGAAGAAAAACCAACAATAACAACAACAACATCCAACAACAACAACAAAAGCCCTGGCTGCTGTAGCTTAGTCGGTTGGGTGTTGCCCCATGCACAAGGAGGTTGCTGGCTCAATCGCTGGTAAAGGGAGCATGCAAGGGGCAGTTGATTCATGTTGAGCTCTCACATATATGTTTCTCTCTCTCTTCCCCCTTTCTTTTTTCTTTAAATATATATTATATATTTTCTTTAAATATATAGGAAGGGAGAGGGAGAAAAAGTTAGAAACATCAATGAGAGAGAAACTGGGGATGTGCCTGCAACCAAGGTATATTCCCTTCACCGGAATCGAACCTGGGAATCTTGAGTCTGCAGGCCAACGCTCTTTCCACTGAGCCAAACCAGCTAGGGCTCTTGGACTTTTCTTACAAAAGTAAAAAAGTAATTTCCACTCATAATACTTATAAATACCTTATCGTTGGGTCACTATTTGAGGTAATCCATACACCTGCAAAGTTGTTTGCATAGATTTTATTCTCTATGAACTGTCCTCTTCCTTTTTCGTGGACATATATTCCTCCAGTCTGTCCATGATGAATTTCACATCGAACCACTGTGGGGTTAGCATAGGCTTTTACCTCAAAGCCTGCTATCCTGTTTCTGTGTATGTTGCAACTTTCAAAGTAACCCTGAAGAAATACAGAAATTAAAACTGTAGGTAAGGCTAGTTTTCTAGAAGAAACATAAAAAACCCCCCACCTTTTTAAATGTACACGTCAAAATTAAGTATCAGAGATGTTCAAGAGTAGGAACAAAGATATTCACTAAATTTCAAATGATAAACATGGAAGGAAATATTTTAATTTCAATACAACCAAACTACAAATACTCTAATTAGTCTGAATATATTCAATGCCAGGAAAGAAAAATAGGTAAGTATGCATTTCTTTCAACAAAAGATTTATAAGTATTAAAGACACTAAGTCCTTGTAGCCTTAAAAATGTCTCAAGAAATTAACTTCTAAAAAGTTGACATAAGGATATAAGCAGAGCCCACAGAAAAAGACACACAAAATAACTTTCATTCTAGCCACATAATAGTGATCTAACTACATAAAATGCTTTTGAAAACTTATGCTCAAGGTATACACACTATCATGTTAAATGAAAAGAATAGTATATTCTTCAATGTAGTATACATTAAATATGACCTAAATTTTACTAAAGAAAAACAACCTGAAGGATTAAACAAAAACATGAAGGTATGACCATTTGAGTAGTGATATTTATTTGTATCCTTTATAACCTCTCTTATTAATTTCTTACATTTTCTACAATGGATGTTTACTTATTTTGTAATGAGAATGAAAGTTCTCTAACACTGCCCTGGCCTGTTTGGTTCAGTGGATAGTACATCAGCCTATGGACCAAAGGGTCCTGGGTTCGATTCTGGTCAAGGGCACAAACCTCACAGGCTCTTCCCCAGCTGGGCTCTGGTCAGGGCATATGCAGGAGGCAACCAATCAATGTGTTTCTCTCACATCGATGCTTCTCTCTTTTACTACCCTTTCTCTTCTACTCTCTCTAAAATCAATGGAAAAATATCCTCGGGAGAGGATTTAAGAAAAAAAGTACTCTGATACTAATATCTTAAATTCTATGACTCAATCAATATTGAATATTAAGAGAAAAAATAAAACTTTTAAGATGGCATTTTTAAAAAACCATTGTATTTCCCTTGCCTATCCCTTCGACTGAATGTGTTCACGCTTGTTTTGGCAGCACATATATTAAAACTGGAATACACATTGGTTGTGGGCACATCCCCAGTAGGGGGTGTGCAAGAGGCAGCTGGTCGATGTTTCTCTCTCATTGACGTTTCTAGCTCTCTATCCCTCTCTCCTCCTCTCTGTAAAAAAATCAATAAAATATATTAAAAAAATAAAAATAAAACTGGAATACATAGCTTTTATGTATGTAAAATCTATTTATTCCAATCATAGCATGGGTCCTGAACAATGATTATATACAAACTAGACGCCTGATGCAGGAATATTCACGCAAGAATGGGCCTTCCTTCCTCTGGCTGCTGGCACCGCCTTTGCTCCAGCCCGAGTGGCCTTTCTGCCTTCCCATGCTGCCTAGAGGCCTGGAGCTGCTGGGGCTGTGTGGAACACCTGCATTGTCGCCATGGTGACGATACAAGAATCCCACCCTGCCCTACCCCAGCCACTTGGTGGCTGCATATGCAAATTAATTTACATACTCACTTGTGATTGGTGGGCGTCACAAAGGTATGGACAATTTGCATCTTTTTCTTTTATTAGTATAGATTTGTTAAATGTTCCATATTTTGTGCAGTGCCCCAACATCCTCACACCCTTTGATTAGCTCAGAAGAAATATATGGCACTCAATAGCAAAATTGTGACTTTTCACCGCACACACAGACTAAACGTGCTTCCTTTAACACTAAGCATTTTCTTATGCTACCTTCCATGTACTGGCCTGTATTATTTCTATACTTTTGTCATATCCATTTGTACCTGATAATAAGCTCCTGAAGAGAACTATCCAAGTATACAAAACTTTACACACGAACATAAAAAAAAACCAAAAAAACAAATTCAAAAACAGGATAAACTAAAAGAACTTAATGTTCTCTTGAAACAAACATTTTTCTGATGTTTTTATCACTGAGACAGGAGCTCAACTGGTCTCTCTGCCTAGAGTTAAATGACTTACCTGATTAGTAAGAATAAACAAGGAAAGAATAAACTGGGTAAGCTCAATTCAGCATCATCCTTTCCTCGTGGAAGAGAGAAGGGAGTATGCACTCTGCTACAGCTCACAAACACTGTCTATGACTAAGTGGGCAAATCTATTTAATTTTGGGTTTCAGTTAAACAGACCTAATTTGGTTTTCATTCTAAGCTGTATTTTCCAATTTAACTTTTCAGAGCAATAAAGATAATATTTTAGCTTACTTTTGTTACTATATGGCTTTATTTCTTAATTTGTTAATGTAGCGAGGAAAGGTATAGTATTTAAAAAAATACACAAGTATTTTCATTGATTTGAGAGAGGAAGTGAGAGAAAGATTAATGACAGAAAATAATTGATTGGCTGCTTCCTACATACCCAACACTGGGGATCAAGCCCACAACCCAGGCATGTGCCCTGACCGGAACTCAAACCGTGACCTCCTGGTTCATAGGTCAATGCTCAACCACTGAGCCATGCTGGTCAGGGGAAGAAAGGTTTGCTATTTATTGGGCTTCCATGAAGATTCCAATAGCAGGCTATTGTTATGTTCTGGCTATCGTACAATAGTTAAACATATAGTAGTACTACAAGTATGCTTTGCTGTATATCTACTACAAATTATTCAACTGTGGGAAAGCTCTTTCTCTGTTTTCTTTAGGCTTTAATTTTGTACAATGAGAGAGACAACTAGATTCACAAATTTATTTAGGCAAAGAGCAAACCACTCTCTTTATTTTCCCTCAGCCAGAGGCCCATACTTTAAATTCTTTCAGCTACCTCCACTTTTCTGGATTAATCCTCATCCGAGGATATTTTTCCATTTATGATTAGGCAGAGTGGAAGAGAGAGGGTAAGACAAAGAGGAACATTGATGTGAGAGAAACACATTGATTGGTTGCTCTCTGCATGGCCCCAACCAGAACCTGGGCCGGGGAGGAGCCTGCAACCGAGGTATGAACCCTTGATGGAAATTGAACCTGGGACCCTTGGTTTGCATGCTGATGCTCTATCCACTGAGCCAAACTGGCTAGTCAATCTAGCATTATATTTTTAAGTAAAGATTTATATTGCTATATCTTGAGTTTTCAGTATTATGTATTACTTACTGACTTCCTGTTATGGAAGATGAGAATTTAACTTTCCTACTTTCTATTCCTCAGCACAAACATTCATATGCTCTTCCAATGTAGTTATATCATAATGTGGTTAGATTATTGTGTTAGAGCTGAGCTGTCAAGTATAACAATATATTCTTTGCTGTACAATTTTTTATTTTCCTTGTAGTAGTTATTTTGTTCTTCTCCTTTGCTTAAATCTCTTGTGATAATCTATCCTAAACTTGCTACCAGTTGTTTAAATTAACATATTTACATTCCACATTAGGTTTGCCAATTTATCTTCCTAAATACAAGCAGGTTTTATAACCTGCTCTAATGTGGACTGGTTACCCTGGTCATAGGCACAGGTCACTTACCATATTTATTTTTATTTTATTTATTGATGAGAGAGAAAGAGAGAGAGATGGATTTGTTGTTCCACCCATTTATGCGTTCATTGGTTGATACTTTTTAAATATATATATATTTTATTGATTTGTTAGAGAGGGAGGGAGAGAGGGAGTTAGAAACATTAATGAGAAACATCTATCAGCTGCCTCCTGCACACCTCCTACGGGGGATGTGCCTGCAGCCAAGGTACATGACATTGACCAGAATTGAACCTGCGACCCTTCAGTCTGCAGGCTAATGCTCTATCCACTGAGCCAAACTGGCTAGGGCTGGCTGATGGTTGATTCTTGTATGTGCCCTGACCTAGGATCAAACCCGCAACCTTGGTCTATCATGACTATTGTCTACCAATTGAGCTACCCAGTCAGGGACATATTTAATTCAGATTATGGTTAAAAATAATCCCCACATCTATCAACAATGGAGTTTGTAATCTCTATTGTTTTAGAGTAACTTTTAAGAAAAGAAAGCACCGAAACCGGTTTGGCTCAGTAGATAGAGCATCAGCCTGCGGACTGAAAGGTCCCAGGTTCAATTCCGGTCAAGGGCATGTACCTTGGTTGCGGGCGCATTCCCAGTGGGGGGTGTGCAAGAGAATGGATGATTCTCTCTCATCAATGTTTCTAACTCTCTATCCTTCCCTCTTCCTCTCTGTAAAAAAAAAAATAAAAAAAATCAATAAAATATATTAAAAATAAAAGAAAAAGAAAAGCAACAAAAAAGTTTTTTTCATGTCTTAAAACCATAGGCATCTACTATAACTGTGACTTTATTACATTTATAAAGAACCACTGGTTGACTTATAGTTTTAAACCTATTTCATTATTACTCTGGATTAAGGGCTCTGATTAATGTAATTTTGCTCTAAAGTACATTTAAATGAAACACGCACGTTTAGTGCACATGGCCTAACAACACACATTATGGGTAGAATTCAAATGCAAATCACAGAAGCTCCAACAGCCCTGACCGGTTTAGCTTGGTGGATGGAGCATAGGCCTGTGGACTCAAGGGTCCCAGGTTCGATTCTGCTCAAGCATGTACCTTGGTTGAGGCACATCCCCAGTAGGGGGTGTGCAAGAAGCAGCTGGTCGATGTTTCTGACTCTCTATCCCTCTCCCTTCCTCTCTGTAAAACAATCAATAAAATATATTTAAAATAAAATAAAATAAAACAAAAAACACCTAGATGACAAAGCTCAGCCATCCCAAGTATAAATTAAAATAAAAAATTCAGGAATGGAGAAACTCTGATTAAAGGTCTGAAGATAAATAAATATAGTAGAGTAAACATAGGGCCATAACTATAAATGTTATAAACCTTTACAGAAGACAAATGAGAATATAAATAATGGGGTAAAGATAGGTTAGAAAATCTTTTATAATTTATTCTTCTAAGTACAGAAGTTTATATCTTAAGTATGTAATAGACAAAAACAATTTCAGAGAATAAAAATATAATTAAATAACATAATAAAAGATAGAGGACAACACAAAAACTAATTTAAATATTTATTCTGATGTTCCTTGAAGTTCTATAGAAACCATGTCAAATTTTAAAAATGTTTTTAGTGATGTCCTACTAATCATGGGGTGCAACAGAGAAGACAGCCAAAATAATACAGTTAAGTCGTTACTGCAATTTTAAGCAAGATGACATATAAAGAAACCAAGTAACCACTGGCTGACATAAGCAAGAGTTAAGTTTCTTACAGCATATTTCTGGTTACAAAAACATCAAATTTCTAAATTAAGACACAAAACACTTACTTTAGACATTGAAGTAAATGTGAGCTATACATACATTTAAGAAAGATTAGTAAAAATAAGATGATTATTTTCCAACCTGCTTATCCCTGTTTAGGGTCACAGGTGGCCAGAGCCTATCTGCAGCTCACAGAGCAAGGAAGAACCAAATCTGGACAAGATGCCCTTCCATCTCAGGCACACACACGATTTAGACACCAATTAACCTAATATGCACATCTTTGGGACATGGAAAACCAGACCACTAGGGGAAAACCCATGTAAATATGGAAAGAACATGCAAACTCCACACAGACAGTGGCCCAGACTGGAATCTCCCCTCCCTCCTCATCAACATTACAACGAAACATTATGCAAGGACCTGCCATATCTTTAGAATAGAAGAACATTCTACCAAAGGATTTTAAAAGATTGTATGGCAATACTTAAACACACACAGACCCAACGTATACTTTATTTTGACCCTTCCCTTACAAATTTATATTACCTTAACAAATCTCTTCATTAATTCTTAATGGGAATATTTATCTGTAGCAATGACTAGAGCTGTTTAAAAAAAAGTTATAAAAATTTCAAACCCAAATTTGTAAAAAAAATAAACTGTATGGGGTGTGTGAACGAGGAATAAATGATGATGATAAACTTTAGTAAGTAAATATCATAGGTCTTTTAAAAATGAGGGAATTTACCCAGGTTAAAATTATCTTGGTACCTCAAATCATTTGTGAATGAGACCAGGGCATGCATAAATATGGTACTTGAATAGAATGTTAACTCTGGGGCAGTCTAAGGCAACATAGGCAAATAAATACTCGCATAATATAGTTCCATTACAATAAAAAAACATTTAGGAACTATAACCAGTGCAGGCCTCTAAGGGAGGGTAGAGTCTCAAGATTCTCATGTTTTGACACCTGCAAACCTTTGCTCAAATTCCCCAATTGCCACCTCCTTGGAGAAAACAGTACAATTTGCAACAAAATGTCAGTTTCTTTATTCTAGCTGGAAAGGGCAAATGGTCATCTCCACTCTGCTTTTTTATCAACAGGTCTATGCTACAACCCAAGTTGTAAGTGAACAGTTTCTCTCAAGTTAAAGTTACCCCACAAATGATGAAGAACTGAATGGTCTGAAACCATTTACCAGTAGTTCAAATCAGAACTTGATAAAAGGGTAACTCCTCATACTCTCATTCAGTTAAAAAAAAAAAAAAAGAGTTCTGCATTAGAGTTTTAAGTCCAAATGCTGAAAATAAAAAAATTTCCTTCATTAACTAATTTGTGTAAGTACATCCAATGTTCCCAAGTTGCTTGACTAATACTACATAATAGAAACAAAACTTCACCATAATCCTATGTACCACAAATCACCAACCCCCCTCTCCCATTTCATAAAAAATGTTGCCAATGCTGTAAGTAGGACTTGAAAATTACCTCAATGAAAATTAGACATTAAATGAAAAAAATATACAACAGACAACCAAGAATATTATTTTGAAATCACAGCGTAAGAGCTCAAAAGGCTATTCCTAGAAAAATGTGTAAAATGACATAGTATTCAAAACATATCATCCATAGAGATGCCTAATTAACTGCTGTATAACAATATTATAGCTGATATTTTATTATCACTTTATCTCTTACTAACGTTCTGCCAGTTAAAAAAATTTTTTAAGAGGAGTAAAATGGAAGTCAAATTAATACTGTAGCCATTACTTCTCAAAGTGTAGTCGATAAACAACCTGTATTAAGCTCACATGTGATGCTTATTAAAAATGCATATTCTGGGTCTGATCCTTGAAAATTCTGATTTATAATATATGGCTGAATTTTCTGTACACTTACATTTTAGAACTACTGGATTAGACATGAATCCTCTCAAATGTCACATCAATTTCCTAAGGACTACATCTTTTCTACATTATTATAGTGTGAGAACTCTGCATTTATAGAGTATTGCATATTGATTTAAAAATGTAATGCTGAAATAGCTTTTAAACCTATACGATATAATAGAAACAAATTGGGTGGTTATAAAATCTTGAAACCTATTTGAAATCTAACTAATATGAGGTCAGCTTTTCTGTTAAAAATGTTCTTACCATGCCATGATCAAATGTGAACACACCAACATCACGTCCATGATGAATATGATTCCTTCTAATAATTGGGTTTCCATGATTTTTAACCCAGATCCCAGCCAAAGCATTATTGGAAATTTCATTATCTTCATATATTCCCTACAACAAATAATTAGAAATAAACATTAGTAAAACTTGAAAAAATATTTTAGAAGAATAAAACCACAAAGTTAAAGAAATACCTGTGCATGATCTGTTATATAAAGTCCAACATTTTCACAGTCGCTGATATTACAGTGCTTGATAGTGGGACATGCTCCTTGACCACTAACACATACTGCAGAGCCAACTGTAAGGAAAATACTTTATTTAAAAACTTATTGGGCCACAACACAGAGACTCATTTTATAACAAAATATAAAGAAACACTAACCTGTACATGTACTTCTGATGATACAGTGATCAATAATAGGACTACAATTTACTGTAATCTCTAAGCAGTGGTGTGCATTGTGGTGTTGAGCAGATTTGTCATCAGGGTTAAACTGAAAAGTAGAAATTTTGTGAAATAAACCACCACTGCTTTAATGATTTCAACGTATTATTTTAAAACTTAAAATTTCTTACCCTTATTGTCATATATCCAACATAAGCATCCTCAGAACCTTCCATAAAAACAAAGGTTGAATCTCTAGTGTTTTCAATTATAACTTTGTCTGCTACTTTTCCGGGTGCTGTGGAGAAGATATTTAAAATATATTACCTTTATCAGACAGATGAAATTAAAATTTAAAAATAACTTTAAAAAATACACTTTAAAATGCAGTAATACTTTGCTATAAAACTAATAATATAGAATTTTTTTTATTGTTTTAAGTTGGGTATTTTTTGGAGGGAGAACTGTTAAAAGTTACTTTTAAATATTGAGAGTACTAATACTCATTTAATTGATAACTATATTTCACTGGCCTTTATCACAGGCAGTCATATTTAATGTAGATATTATTGAAATCCACGTATAATACTTCTAAGAAGGTTCAATTGCAAAAGAGACCTATTTATTTACAATTATTTCCAAAACTGGCCTTAATTTGGAAAGTAATAAAAATCTATAGGCAGAAATTTTCTACACCCTCCCTCCTCACTTTTCTTCATGATGGAAATGTGGGAGGAAAGCAGAAAGGACTGTAAATGCAATGTACTATATCCTTAAAAAATCAGAGAGTCCAGCTGGTGTGGCTCAGTGGTTGAACACTGACCTATGAACCAAGAGATCACGGTTTGATTCCTGGTCAGGTCACATGCCCAGGTTGTGGGCTTGATCCCCTGTGTGGGGTGTGCAGGAAGCAGCAGATCAATGGTTCTCTCTCATCGTTGATCTCTCTTTTTCTCTTCCTTTCTCCCTCCCTCTTTCTCTTTCCCCCTCCCCCTCCCTCTCCCTCCTGTCTTATTCTTCCTCTCTTAAAAAAAAAAACACCATAGCATAAATTTCAAATAACTGATCAGTGCTCAATAAGTATTTTATTACCTACATTTTTTCTTAGAAACTTGAGCATAAAAGCAGCTTTTATATAGTCCAAAAATATTTAAGATAAAGCTAACAAACATTTTTCTTTCCTTAATGATTAACTAAGGCAGTTGGACAAAGTAGTGACCAAGAAACATATACATTTAAATATAAAATATTTTTATTGATTTCAGAGAGGGAGAGAGGGAGATTGAACATCAATGAAAGAGAATTACTGACTGACTGCCTCCTACATGCCCCACACTGAGAATCAAGCCCGCAACTCAGGCATATGCCCTGAATGGGAATCAAAATGTGACCTTCTGGGATTCATAGGTTGATGCTCAACCACTGAGCCATGCCAGCTGGGCAAGAAATATATACATCTTAAAAAGAAGTAAGACATATCCACAGTTTCTGAACTCTGTTCTCATTTCTATCACATAAAATATTCATGATATTTAATTCTTATTCTTTCCTACCATTAAGGTATTATCAAAGTTACCTAAATTTTAAGTCAGTAGCATTTTATAAACCATTATGTAAATAAAATTGGTAAAATTCTCATAAAAATGCATTTCAAAATACCTGCACCAATCATGGTGATTGGAGATTCAATATATATCCATTCATCAGTATATATTCCAGAATGAACAAAGATAAGTCCATCAAAATGAGCTTCTTGTACCCCACCAAGGGCATCTTCAATTGTATCATAATACTAGAAAAAAATAAGTGTCAATTTAGAACTGAAAAATTACCATTTTAAATCTCACAAAAATACAGATCAAACATACCAACATATTTTCTCTTCCTTTATATCTTGCAGGGTTACTGTAGAAATGTTCAGCAAATCCTGGCTTTACATGTGCACCTTTATACTTAATGTCCAAAAAAAAAAAAAAGGGAAAGAAAAGAACAGAACATTACATTTTAAACTAATTTTGTACTTTATGAATATTTTAAATAATATATAAAAAATCAATTATTTCAACTAATTTTCTGTTGCATAGTGCAATGTAAAAGGTGTTCCAGATTTTATATTATTCAGTACTATTCAGTAAGAAAAGTCAAGGATTCTCAATCTCAGCACTACTAATACTTTGGAACAGACAGTTCCTTTGTTGTGGGGGCTGTCCTGTGCATTGCAGAATGCTTAGCAGCATTCTTGGTCTCTACCCAGTAGCATCCTCTTCTCCAGTTGCAGTAACTAAAAAACATCTCCAGAAGGTGTCAAATGTCCCCTGTGGAGCAAAATCATCCTAGTTGAGAGCCATTTGTAAAGGACTACATAAAAACTATGCTAAAAGTAAAACTTTAAAACTATTGAACACCATGCTCTGGTTTCTCTTCAGACAGCATAAATCTTTCGCCTTTTAAAACTATTGAACACCAATAATTTAAATAAAAGTTCAACAGACCCATAGAAAGTATAACTGCTTCTAGGCTACTGATCTTTACTGCCAATGTTTAGATTATGTCAGTAGTAAAATTGTTGAGTATTTTGTTGGTTGATAAATGTGCACTGGCTTGAAACCTATTCTTGAAATTAAAAAAAACACACAACATACCAACAAACTTAATTAGCTCAACTGGTGTGGCTCAGTGGTTGAGCGTTGACCTATGAACCAGGAAGGAGGTCATGGTTCGATTCCCAGTCAGGACACATGCCTGGGTGTTGGGCTTGATCCCCAGTAGGGGGTGTGCAGGAGGCAGCCAATCAATGATTCTCTTTCATTATTGATATCTCTCTTTTTTCTCCCTCTCTGAAATCAATAAGAAAAAAAAAAACACACCCCTTAATTATTTTATTTGATGTCAGGTTAAATGTCTGTGTTTGCTCAGTAATAAATATTTCTTTGTAGTATCTACCCTGTTTCCCCGAAAATAAGACAGTGTCTTATATTAATTTTTTATCCCAAAGTTGCGCTAGGTCTTATTTTCAGGGGATGTCTTATCTTTCCATGCGCTAGGTATTATTTTCGGGGAAACACAGTATTACTTCATCAGGGTCATTACACCTGTCATCATGAATGCAGCAAAATGTCTCTCCAGTAAGTCATGGAATACCTGGAACATTCCCCCTTTTCACAAGATAGATTTGTATGACATTATAAATATCTCCATACATGAGTTTAACTTTTTTAGAAAGGAAATTTTATCTCCAAATATATAATATACATAAGGTAATATTTTCTATTTATACTTCCTACCAACTGCTGGAAACTCTCTTTCCAAGGATTTGGATGTTCATATTCTTCTGGATTAATCTGATAGAATTTGCCAGGTTCAGGATGCATCATAGGACGGGTATATTCAAATACTTCCATATATAATCGTTTCCTGAAGGTGGAAAAAGAATTAGAGAGTTATTCATAAGTAGCCTTTTAAATAACTACAAAAAATTATTTGAGGACTGAAATAGTTTACCTTTAGCACCATACAAACTATTACAAAATATAGAGAAGTACAAAGAAAGGAGATAACCTATATGTTCAATACATTATTAACAGTTGACTATATTTCCTTTCAGTCATTTTTATGTACAGTTAGTTTCACTTGTTATAGTTTTGATTTATATAGCATATAAAAACAAAATATTGTATCCTGCTCTTTTCACTTTTTACTTATTGGTTTTAGAGAAAGAGGGGAAAGAGAAAGAAGAGAAGGAGGGGGAGTGAAAGAGAAAAAGATTTGCTGCTCCACCCATTAATATTATATATTCATTGGTTGTTTCATGTATGTGATTGACGGGATCAAACCTGCAATCTTGATATATTGGAACAACACTCTATATTGGAACAACACTGAAGTACTCAGCCAGGGCACTTTTCACTTTTTTACAACATAGCATTTTCTCATGCTATTGAAAACTGTAAAATCACTGTTCATGACTATACCCCAACACTCCAAGCAGACATTATATTGTGTTCATTTAAGTCCACTTCCTTACTGCTAGATCTAATTTCTAATTCCCCCCACTATTAACTATGATATTATGAAAAATTAGTACATAAGGCAAAAAATTTTCAGAAGTGGCACTACTGGGTCAAAGGGCATGCATATTTCAAGGTTATAAATATAAACTATCCAAGTATTTTCCAAAAGTGATATATAAAATTCATTCTCACTGAACTATCAAATTTTAATTAGTTAGCTGTTTTAAATTAGACTTAGTTCTGTGTTTGTTTGTTTTTGTTTTTTTTAAAAATACATTTTTATTGATTTCAGAGAGAAACAAGAATCATCAATGACGAGAATCACCGATTAGATGCCTCCTGTACACCCCCTACTGGGGATTGAGCCTGCAACCTGGGCACATGCTCCTGACCAGAAAGAAACCTGGAACCCTTTAGTCCACAGGCTGACACTCTAAGCCAAACCGGCCAGGAGCCTTAGTTTGTAAAAAACACACACACACATATATTTATATTTATTTCAAGAAGAAGGGAGAGGAAGAGACAGAAAACATTAATGATGAGAGAAAATCATTGATCGGCTGCCTCCTGTATGCCTTTATACTGGGGATCAAGCTTACATCCTGGGCATATGCCCAGATGAGGGGATTGAATTGTGACCTCCTGGTTTATAGGTTTAATGTTCAACCATTGAGCCTCACCGGCTGGGGCTTAGTTCTATTTTTTAAAAGCAATTAAATGAAAAACATTTTACACACTCAACTGCTAGTTACTGATAAATAGCAGAGAAAGCACTTCACTTATTGTTTTATAAATATCACCTAACGTGACAACTCACATTTGTGATAAACAGGTAACTTAAAATTTACAAGCAATCTAATTTTATTCTTATTATAATTAACACTTCAACCTCCCTACCATTTCAAGCATTTTGGGCACCAAATAATATATCTCAAGATAATAAGAAATAAAATTTCACTTACCACAAAATTGGATCATTAGCAAGCTCACTGAAGCGTTTACACACACAAGCTGCTCTACAAAGATCCTGTTCCAGCAAGTAAGAGAAGATTTTTAGAACCACTTCATCTGGCAGTTTCTCCTGAAGATACTGTTCAGCAGGTGCTGCTATAAAGAGATTAACAAATAAAATATAAACAACTTATTTATCATGTTAGTAATGACTTCCTCATTATTTAAAAAGCATAATTTTCACTCTGGCCAGTGTAGCTCAGTTGATTGGAGCATTGTCCTGTGCACAGAAGAGTGGTGGGCTTGATTCTAGGTTAAGACACATAAAGGAAACAGCCAATCAATGTTTTTTCTGTTTCTTTCCTTCCCAGCCCCTCTCTAAAATCAGTAAAAACATATCTTTGAGTGAGGATTAAAAGTAAAATAAATAAAAAAGCATAATTTTCATTTTATTTAACCAATAGCTTTTATTTTGTGATGATAAATCCTTTTTTTAAATATACCTTTATTGATTTCAGAGAGGAATGAAGGAGAGAAAGAAAAATCAATGATGAGAGAAAATCAATGATTGGCTGCCTCCTGCAACCCCCACACTGGGGATTGAACCTGCAACCCAGGCATGTGCCCTTGACGGGAATCAAATCTGGGACCCTTCAATCCACAGGTGGACACCTTCCACTGAGCCAAACTGACTTAGGGCGACAATCATTTTATAAACATTTTCTTTCATAGATGACACATTTAGTTTTGTTTATCTTGACATTTAGTACTCTCTTAAGCTATTATGTACCATTTCAGAAACTGGTGAAAATATACAAAAGGTTTTTTATTTTTTGGGTTAATTCTCACTTGAAGATATTTTATTTCCATTGGTTCCCCCACCCCCTTTAGAGAGTAGAAGGTAGGGAAGGAGGGAGAGAGACATCAATGTGAAAGAGACACATAGACTGGTTGCCTCTCATAGAGCCCTGATGGGATTGAACCTGAAACCCAAATATGTGCATCCTTGACTGGGAATCCAATCCTTCCGTAGGCAGGCCAACGCTCTAACCACTTTACAACACTGGCCAGGGCACAAGGCATATTGTATGTTTTTAAAACGTATTTTTTATTGATTTCAGAGAGGAAAAAAGAGGGAGAGAAATATCAATGATGACAGAATCATTGATTGGCTGCCTTCTGCATACCCCCTACTGGGGATCGAGCCTGCAACCTGGAGAAAAGGCCCTTGACTAAAATTGAACCTGGGACCCTTTAGTCCACAGGTATATGCTCTATCCATTGAGCCAAATCATTTGGGCCACAAGGTGTTTTTATTTTTTAAATATATTTTTACTGATTTCAGATAGGAACAAAGAGGGAGAGAAATACAGAAACATCAATGATGAGAGGGAATCACTGATCAGCTGCCTCCTGCATGCTCTCCACTGGGGATCACTGAGCCCACAACCTGAGCATGTGCCCTTGACTAGAATCAATCCTGGGACCCTTCAGTCTACAGGCTGACACTCTGTCCACTGAGCCAAACTAGCTAGGGCAACACAAGGTGTTTTTATATAATAAAGTCAAAGAGGGAGAGGTCAGAGTTGTCATGTTTTTCTTTCTTTCTATCTATCTATCTATCTATCTATCTATCTATCTGGCTATCTCTCTCTCTATAAAAGCCTAAGTGACCAAATGACAGGAGCTGCCCCCGGTGGTCAGTGCACTCCCACAGCAGGAGCGGCTTAGCTGACTGATGGGTGCCAGAAGGCGTTGGACTGTAGGTTTCGGTCCAATCCCCACAAACCATGCTGAGGGACCCCACTGGTGCATGAATCCATATATTGGGCCTCTAGTTCTATAACCATCACTTTCACAATCCCAAATGTAATACTAAAGTGCATTTAATTTAATTTTAATATTGTGGTATCAAACAAAATAAAAAGTTACTTAACCCTGTTCCTTAGTTTTCCCATAGGAAATACCTGCCAAATCTTGTGATTTCCCAGATACTCTTGCACGTTTTGCACGATGACCAAAGTTTTCTGTTGCTGAAGTTGAGGCACCCTTCAAAAACAAAATTAAAATTTAGCAAATATTTTTATATGCTTCTAAAAAATGATGAAATTCCCTTTCCTTTTTTGTTTGTTTCCTAATAATTCTTTCATTATAAAAAGAAAGGCAGTGACACTTAATTTACCTCCATATTGCTCTTTGTAGGGCACGCTGTTCTTTTCGGCAAAAGAGTTTTTCTACGAAGCTGGTAAGGACTGTTTTGTGCACCAGGACCTGATTCTTCTGCAACCATATCTGCAGGTACATCATCATCTGTTATAAACAAAAGCAATATGAAAAATGATATTAAAAAAAGAGCTCTTATGGATGCAGTAAACTTTTTTATTTTTAAATATGTTTTTATTGATTTCAGAGAAGAGACAGAAACATAAATGAGAGAGAATCATTGATCAGCTGCCTCCTGCATACTTCCTCCTGGGGATTGAGCACCAACCCGGGCATGTGCCCTTAACCGGAATTGAACCCAGGACCTTTCAGCCCACAGGTTGACGCTCTATCCACTGAGCCAAACCGGCTAGGGCTGCAGTGAACTTTTTAAAAACTTCCTAAACATTTTTTTTTTTTTTGTGGTTGTGGTGGAAAATACAACTTTTATATAAAATTCTAGCTAATTGGATAACCATCTGAATGAAATGTTGGCTTTTTATTTTATTTCAAAATAAATCCCAAAATACACCATATATTTAAATACAAAAAAGGAAACAAAATCACAAGAAAATAGGAAAAAAAATTTTTTTTTATTACATTAGAGAAGTTCTTTCAAGGTTATGACATAAAACTTGGAAGGCATTAAAAACAACAACAACAGGTGAGGAGGATGTTCACTTGATGAGGGGCTTGAAAGAAGGGGAGTGAGTCATGGTTAGAGCCCAAGAGGGATGGGAAGGGCAACCAGGCAAGGGAAGTCAGAGTCAAAGTCAGGTGACTAAGGACAATGCTGACAGAGGGACAGGTTGGTATAAAATATCAGATACCAAGAAGGATGAAAAGAGCATCCACATATAGAGTGGTCAGGCATAGGGTCTTGGAGTTCAAGGGGGGGGTGGGGGGGGGGGAGTCTGTGTGGAAGGTAGGGTAGCCCTGGAATGAAGAGTCAGACAGAGGAGGGGAAAAAGGGTGTTGCATAGCAATGGGGTTGGTAGACCTGGAAGACTGGTGAGAGAACCTAGAAGCAGTGACACTCCAATACCAATGAACATGAGTAGCAGTAGGAGCTTGGCTTCTGAATAGCATTTTCTTCTTTAAAAAAAAGAAAAAAATTTTTTTTTTAAAAAATTGATTTCAGAGAGGAAGAGACAGATACAAACATTTGCTGATGAGAGAATCATTGATCGGCTGCCTCCTGCATGCCCCCTATTGGGGATCAAGCCCATAACCTGGGCATGTGCCCTTGACAGGAATCGAACTCAGGACCCTTCAGTCCAGAGGCCAACACTCTATCTACTGAGCCAAACCAGCTGGGCTTCTTATTTTTTTAATCTTCACCCAAGGATATTTTCCCATTGATTTATTTTTTAGAGAGAGTGGAAGAGAGAGGGAAAGACAGAAATATCGAAGTGAGAGAAACATATCGAATGGTTGCTTCCTGCATTAGCCCAGACCAGGAACCAGGCTGGAGAGGAGCCTGAAACCCAGGTATGTGCCCTTGACAGAAATCAAACCTGGGACCTTTTGGTCCACAGGCCGACACTCTACACACTGAGTCAAACCGGACAGGGCTGAATAATATTTTCTATAAAAGAAATAAAGGTTCCTTGGAGAAATGATAGATTCCAGATTGGGGGAAATACAAGATGAGCCTGAAATACCTTGTGGTAGAAATAATAAAGTGCTAAAAGAATGATGAGGACATGTCAAAAGGACAAAGAAGTCAGCCTGAATACTCACCCACTAACAAAATTATGTTGAGCATCAATATACATGATAGTAAAGGAATTATAACCCACCGAATGAACAGCAACCCATAAATTTACACAGCTATAAATAAATAAATGGAAAGTTTAATAAAGAATGAGATGTTAAAAAAAAAAAAAAACTTTAGAAAGGGGAAAACAGTAACTCTGTAGTAAAGATGTCCATCAGATAGTACCTTAATCAAGAGATTTAAGTGATGGCCGGCCCCTCTGTACCCCGCACCTCCCACCCAGCACACGCCCCGCCCTCTGAGGTGGGGCAGTGGTCACTGCATCCCCAGCCTCACCCAGGACTCCCACCTGGCATGGGGCCACCAGCCAGGCTCCCTGGCAGCATTCACGTTCAGCAATAAAGGTTGTCCCACGTAAAAAAAAAAAAAAAAAAAAAAGAGATCTAAGTGAATATCATCATTAGTAGGACAAACTGAAACAGTGTGTCACCCGATAGCAGCTATATTCCTGCAGCATAACCTAAATCAAAATTGTGAGGAAACATTAGACAAACCAAATTTGTTCTAATTTGTTTTGAGTCATCTTCAAAACTGTCAAAGTTATGAAAGTCAAGGAAAATCTGAAGAACAGTTCACAACTGAAGGATACTAAAGAGATATGGCAACTAAATGCAATGTGTGGATCTGAACATTTTTGCTAAAATGTGGCTATTAGGACCAATAGTGAAACTTAAATGCGGGGTCTAAAGATTAGAAGACAATAATGTGTAAATGATAACTTTCTGACTTTTATAGCTATAGTATGTTTGTTTAGAATATCATTTTTTGTAAGAAATACAGACTAAAAATTAGGAGGTGACAGGATAATAGGTTGGCCATATTCTAGAAAGAATCAGGGGAAAAAACTCTTTTCTAAGTTAGATTGTTTTTAAATACTAATACATTTGAGTAATATATAAACCACTAGAGGCCTAATGCACCAAGATTTGTGCAAGAATGGGCCTTCCTTTCCTTGGCTAACAGCACCGCCTTCGCTGTTTCCTTCACATTATCACATTATTAATGTTTCCTCACCGCCTTCGCCCAGAGCTGCCTTTCCGACTTCCCATGTTGCCCAGAGGCCCGGAGCTCCTGGGGCAGTGTGGAACACCTGCGTTGTCACCATGCAATGATGCAAGCTTCCTGCCCACCACATCGGGTGGCCTGTGTATGCAAATTTACCCATCATCTTTGTAGGGTTAATTTGCATGCACACTCCTGATTGGCTGGGAGTCACAAAGGTAGAGCCAATTTGCACCTTCCTCTTTTGTTAGTGTTGATTAAAAATTCTGCTTGGAAAATCAACACCATAAACAGTTAAAAGAAGCAACACAATTAGGAAAAAACCTGCAACAAATGTCACACAAATGGGTAATAATTTCTTTGTCTACAAATAAATAGAGAAAAGATCAATAATTCAACAGAAAATTGGGCCAAGGCAAGGACATGAGCAGATAATTCAGAATTAAGAAATGAGAAATGAAATGCTAATAGGAATGAAAATGAGATATTTTTCACATAACAAATTATGAAAGATAAAGTTTGGTCACATATTAGTATTATGAAAAGATAATGTGAAGGAAAAAGAGTTCTTAATTGCTCTAAGAAGAACAATTTGGCAATAGCTATTATTACTTAGCAATTCCATTTCTAGGAATTGATTCTGCAGCTATATTCACACATATGGGAAATGTAGTATGGACCAAGATTTTTATTGCATACTGTTTCCAATACTAAAAGGTAACAATTAAATGTTTAATAGTGTTTATTAAATAAATGATGGCCTAGCTATACAATAAACTATTAAGTGGTAATTATAAGATATAAAGCAGTTCTATATAGATTGATAAGGAACTATCTTTAATATACAGTAAGTTTAAAAACCGAAATATAGTGTTTTGTGTGTGTGGTTTAATGATACACATCTTTATATCATTATAAAGAATTCTTTTTTTAAAAATATATTTTCTTAAAAAAATATATTTTATTGATTTTTTACTGAGAGGAAGAGAGAGGGATAGAGAGTTAAAAACATCAATGAGAGAGAAACAGTGATCAGCTGCCTCTTGCAGCTGGGGATGTGCCAGCAACCAAGGTACAGGCCCTTAAACGGAATAGAACCAGGGACCTTTCAATCCGCAGGCTGATGCTCTATCCACTGAGCCAAACTGGTTTCGGCACATACTCTTTAAAAAAAAATATTTTATCGATTTTTTACAGAGAGACAAGGAGAGGGAGAGAGAGCTAGAAAATTAATAAATTGCATGCGAAATCATGGGGAAAAAATAAGCAAAACTAAAGCATTCTGTTTAACGTACACTTGGGCATTAAAATTACTTTAAAAAGGCCAGATTATCATATGAATGCTTTTTTTGGTGTCCGTGTGTGGTGGTGGTGGTGGTGGTCGTGGTGGTGGAGGGGAAGGATGGAGTTATGACTGGAATGGGGCACATAAAAGGTTTCTGCAGTGGCTGGCTAAGTTTTATTTCTTGACTGGTTGGTATTACAATACCAATCTTAGTAATAATTCTAAACTTTAATAATAATTCTTTTATGTGAAATTTCCCTACCTAGCTATATTTTACAATATAGAGGTGTTTTTAAAAGATGAGGAGTTATAATAGCGTAATATTAAAAAACAGAGGTTTTTCCAATAGCAGACCTTGGCAAAATAACATTTAAAAAAATATATAGATTTTATTGATTTTTTTAGAGAGAGGAAGAGAGAGGGATAGAGAGTTAGAAACATCCATGAGAGAGAAACATTGATCAGCTGCCTCTTGCACACCCCCCACCAGGGATGCGCCCACAACCAAGGTACATGCCCTTAACCGGAATGGAACCCGGGACCTTTTAGTCCGCAGGCTGACGCTCTACCACTGAGCCAAACCAGTTTTGGCTGTCTATTGTCTTTTGAAGAAAATTTCCTATAAAACTTCCTGCTCTATCTGTAGATAATCCATTTAATTTTAGTATGTAAATTTTGCTTTATATACTTTGATGTTATTTGGAAATACAGGGGCAAGATTATTATTTCTTCCTGGTGAATTACTCCTTTCATCATTATGCTTAATAATGCCTTTTGCCTTAGAAATCTATTTTGGGCTGATAATATTTTCCTAACAGCTTTTAGCTTTGTTTTATATAAGCACTTTTTTAAACCTGTAATTTTTTTTTGTCATCTGTTGTGAATATTATTTCCTAGTTTGTTGTTTGACTCTTGCTTACTGGTATTTGATAAGAAACATTCATTATTTTGTTTTTTGTTTCTTTGTTTTTAGTTTAGCAAGGCCTTTTCCTCCTCAATATCATATAAATATTTTATATTATTATTCTCATTCTATTTAAT